GAGCGTCCCGTCTCCGGAGGGGAGTGTGTCCCTAAGGCACAGCACCAGGCAGGAGGCAGCTGCCTGCCCACAGGCAGCACCTTTGCAGGCAGGTGGGACCGGGGAAGGTCCCCCTGCCAGCCGGGGCCAGCCCGGCACTACACATACTGCTTTTTGGAGGCCGAGCTGCCGGGCCGGCTGCACGGCTTCTCCTCCGGGGCAGAGGCTTCGGCGGCCCGGGGGGCGTAGGGGTCCGACAGGGGCCTGCTGTTGCCGCTGCCCAGCGCCAGGTTCTCCTCATTGTGGAAGTTGGCCCAGTTCTGCTCGCTGGAGAGCTTGTTGTAGGTCTGGTAGGACGGCACGTGGCTCTCGGCCATGGGCAGGAACGGGTAGTGCTTGGGCGCGTAGGGATCCGGCACCATGTCGTCGGCAAAGACATCCCGGCTCGGCACGACCGGCCCCGACACCTTCTTGATGTTGCTGAGCAGGTTCTTGCAGCAGAGGTGGAAGAGCTCCATGAGGTTCAGGATTAAGGAGATCAGGCCCATCACCAGCATGAAGATGATGAAGATGCTCTTCTCGGTGGGGCGGGAGATGAAGCAATCCACCTGGTGGGGGCAGGGGTCCCTCTTGCAGACGTAGCGGGGCACCATGGAGAAGCCGTACAGGTACCACTGGCCGACGAGGAAACCAGCCTCAAAGATGCTCTTGCAGATCACACTGACGATGTAGGTCCACATCAGCGCCCCTCGGATCTTGAGCCGCCCGTCCTCCGTCACGTAGATCTTGGACATCTTCTTCTCCACGGCTGCCAGGGCCTGCTCGATCTTCGGGTCCTTGCTGTGGATAGCCCGAAGCTCACTCTGCTGCTGCTTCAGCTTCTCCTCCCTCCGGGAGAGATAGACAACGTGGCCCAGGTAAATCAGGGTCGGGGTGCTGACGAAGAGGAACTGGAGCACCCAGTAGCGGATGTGGGAGATGGGGAAGGCTTTGTCGTAGCAGACGTTGGTGCAGCCCGGCTGCTTGGTGTTACACACGAAATCCGACTGCTCGTCCCCCCACACAGACTCCCCGGCCAGGCCCAGGATGAGGATGCGGAAGATGAAGAGCACGGTGAGCCAGATCTTCCCGATCACGGTCGAGTGCTCCTGGACTTGGTCCAGCAGTTTCTCCAGGAATTCCCAGTCACCCATCTTCTAGGGAGCCTGTGCCTCTGCCAGCAGAGAGGGGAGAGCAGACACATCAATTCCCTGTTTCCATGGGGAGGGGCACAGGGCAGGTAGGGCCACCTAAGCCCCATGACTTTTTGGGATACAGCTGCTCTGCAGATTGTCCCAGCAAACCCACTGGGGGACATGCCACACCTGAGGGAAGGACCCAGGCTTTCTGAGACCTGGAGGGCTCCTTCTGCTTACCCTTGCTCAGTGCAGGAATATGGGGCAGGGGAAGAAGAGGCAGCACAGGGATTCACCTCCTCCAGCAGCACCCAGCCCACAGCACCCACAGCTCATGGCTGTGGGACGATGGACCCCCAGCACCCTCCCCTTGCTCAGGGGACCCCTAGCACCCCTCACCGACCTGCTGCTGCTGGGGGGACCCCTTAGAGCCCAGCTTGCACCCCGCGGGTGCTCAGCCCTGCAGCCGAGCTGGGAAGGAGCGAAAGGGCGGCTGCAGCCCCCGCTCCTTATTAACCGCAGCTAATTAAGCACAGAAGTGCCGGCTGTGCCGTTAAAGGCACCCTGGCAGCTGCGGGGCGAGGGCGTGCCCGCGGTGGGGGTGCCCCGTCCCCGGCACGGTGTCCCCGAGCGGCGCCGGTGTCCCGGGAGCCCCGGCGGTCCCCACTCACCTCCGCAGCGCCGGGAACGTCCCACCGGGCTCGGGCCGCGCTGAGTGTGAGGGGTCGGGCCGGGATCTGCGGCGGCTCCGGTCGTGCGGGGCCCGGGGGAGCCGGGGGAGGAGCACGGCAGGAAACCGGGGGGCCGGGGCTTAGAGCCGGACCGGACCGCAGGTGAGCGGGGCCGCCCCCTCCCACCGCCCCGCGATAAGGGGGCGGCCCCGGCGGGCGGGGCGGGGGCAACCGGGACCCCCAGAGACGGCCGGGACCCGTCGGGGCCGGGGCCGGTGGGGGACAGTGGGAAGCCCGGCTGTTCCCGGCTGCGGCTCCACCACCGGGCAAACCCGCTGAGCGGGGCAGGGACCCCGGGGATGCTCCGTCCGCTGCCCGACAGCGTGTGCCCGGAATGTCCCGTCACCCGCCCCGCGTCCTGGGGATGTTCCTTCCCCTGCCCGGCGGGGTGTCCCCGGGATGCTCCGTTCCCCGCCCAGTGTCCGGGGATGTTCGGTCCCTGCCCGCCCCGGCCCGCTCGTGGGTTGTCCCCGCGGGTCCGTGCGGCGCGGCGGGCGCTGGGTGGTGCTGGAGCCACACCGGAGCGCGGCCCCGGACCCGCATCCCGCCGGTTCCCGGGCTGAGCCCCACCGGAGCCCTGCCCGGCACCTGCCCGCGAGTTTCAGACGGAGCTTCGCTGGCGGGGGTCTCGGCACACACTGCAACACTCCCCGTGGGGCTGCGCAGCTGGGAACGGCGGACCCTCCGCTAGCGCTGCTTAAGGAGAGATTAAATGGAAATAATTTCTATTTATTATAATATTTATCAAGGTTTAGTAAATAATTGATGTTGATCCATCCTTGATTTCCTTGGGGGCCAGCGTGTGGTTCTGCTGAATTAAGGTTTAACGAGGCGTGACGAGCCCCGGGAGAGGCGGAGAGGGCGGAGTGAGCCCGACCCGGGGCTCGACTGCCCTGCCCGGCTCCGGGGGAACCTCTGCAAATCCATGTCATCTGCCCTCACCAGTCCCCCCGATTTCCAGAGTGCAGAACAGATCCCGGTGTCTCCAAGCAGTGTTGGATTGGCCTTTTGGATCCGTAGCTTGTGCCGTATGTGACATGTCCATCCGAGGGGAATGGAGAGCAGCACAGACAGCAATGGCATTTGGGCAGGACATGGCACGGCATTCGTGTGAGCCAAGAGGGAGAAGCTGTTTGGTTTAGTCATTTTTCACACAGGTTGACTCTTGAGGGTTCAGGGGTGGCTGGAAAAGCTGCTTGGCCAAGGGGGATGTGAACCAGCTGGGACAGGCGAGCTCACAGCTCCTCTCCTCTGTGGGAAGAACAGACACCCTCAGGCATGCCCACAGGCAGCCAGCACCCACCTCTCACCACGCCACTGGGACACCTGGGGATGTGCCCATGGTCCCAGGCAGGAGAGTTCCCATGGATGTGTCCCCCTCCCCTTACAGCCATCGAATTCCTGGCTGAAGGGTCTGGTGGTGACATCACTGGTGGTCACATCTGGTGCCAACCATCCCTGGCACATGCCAGGACACTTCTCCCTCCACCCTCCCCTCCCAGCACCCTTCAGACAGCAGTCAGGGCTGTCACACACCTAGTCTGGGACTTGTTGTCCTTCTCCTCCGACTTGAGGTGGCAGTGGCAGGTGGAGGCCTTGCTGTAGCTGACGGAGCGCTTGGTGGATTTCCTCCACTTCCGTGCGCTCCGGACAACCCGCTTGAAGATGAGGTAGAAGATCTCACAGACGGTGAGGATGATGCAGATGGAGGAGGCTCCCACCATGAAATAGCTGAAGACCCTTTTCTCGGTTGGCCGAGCGATGTAGCAGTCCACGGTGTTGGGGCAGGGATCCAGGTTGGTGCACTTGACCAGCCGCGGCAAGTCGAAGCTGTCCCACATCTTGTGGAGGAGGTAGAGGAACAGGATCTCTATGATGAGCTTGAAGAAGAGGCTGAGCAGGTAGGTCCACCACAGCCCGCCGTGCTTCTTGCCCGTGTTGCTGTAGAGCTTGGGGCAGTTCTCCCCGTTCTTCTCCCGGTTCTTCTTCTCGCGGTCCTCGCGGTAAGCCACGTGCATGATGACCAGGAGGGAAGGACAAGTGACGAAGATGAGCTGCAGGGCCCAGAGGCGGATGTGGGAGATGGGGAAGAAGTAGTCATAGCAGACGTTGGTGCAGCCCGGTTGTCGCGTGTTGCAGTCAAAGTCCTTCTGCTCGTCCCCCCACACGCGCTCGGCCGCCACCACGTAGACCAGGACGCGGAAGACGAAGACCACGGAGAGCCAGATGCGGCCGAAGGCTGTGGAGTACTTGTTGACCCCGCTGAGCAGTGCCTGCAGCGTTTTCCAATCCATGGTGGCCGGCAGAGACCGAAGTCACCCGACCTGGAGGGGCAGCAGGAGCGGGGGGTGAGGAGCAATGGGAGGTGTGTGTTCCTCGCTGCACCAAATCCCCCACCACGCTGCACTTGGTGTGGGGCGGGGGGACCATCACCCTTGCAGACAGTAAAACCCGTCCCCACGCTCTCCTGGTGACAGAGGTGACTCAGCCTCTCAGCACTTCCTTCTGCCCCAAGGGATGAGCCACCTGGCCAAGTCCCCACCACCAATCCCCCAGCTGACTGCGTGTGTTGGTGCGAACTGGCAGCAGGATCCGCTGGAATGAGCCAGGATCAACAGCCAGAGGGGAAGCGGCTGCTGCAGTGCTGGGCTGTCAGGACATGCCAGGGACCGGTTTTTCTGTCTCACAGGTGATGCCCGAGGCAGCCCAAGCACAAGTGAGAGCGGGGCTGCAGAAAGGGACAGTCTGTGTGTGTCACCAGCACGTCACCCGGGCCCGTGCTCCGCTCCTGCTCCTGCCCCCGGCAGCAACACCAGAGACCCTGACGGCCACCCGGTGCCCTCTGAGACATACCTGGAGGAGGCTCAGGCTCCTTCCCTGCTCATCAGGGGTTGTGGGATGGGAAGTGCCCAGCACGGGGCATGGCGGGGGTACGATGGCACTCTGGTGATCAGGGTCCCCTCATCCAGGGAGGGCTGACAGTGCAGTGTCCCGGGGCTGCAGGGAAGGAACAGAGCTTGGAGCACTGCCCAGAGCTCCCCAGCTGCCCAGGAGCCCAGCTTTGGCCAGAGCCACCCTGCAGCGAGCCCCAGACCCACCACCGTGCTCCCACACTGCTCCCACACTGCTCCCACACTGCTCCCACACAGGGACACACTGGCAACAGCTGAGCCAAGTGGGGCCAAGCTGGGATCCTGTGCCACCAAGTGCCAGGGCAGGGCCTCTCTGCCCACCACCCTACTGGAAACAGATCATCCTCCCTGGCAAAGCAGTGAGCCAGGGGAGCAATCACAGCCTTCCCACCCAGCCCTTGGCTTTAAAATCAGGAGAGGGGAGCTGCTGTTTCCTCCCAAACGCTGGTGCTAATGGCTGGAACCCGGAGTCCCTGCACACCCCCAGGGCCTCTGTTCCCCCACCAGTTCACCCATGCCCCCAGCCCCAGTGCCCTGCCAGCAATCCACCCAGCACCCACCCGCCCAGCACCCACCTGCCCAGCTCAGCCCAATGCCTGCTCCAACCAGGGACCCGCTGCAGGGTGGGAAGGGGACGTGACCTCCACGCCAATCCCTGTGCTCTGGGAGCCCCACAGCTCCCCCCTGGTGCTGGCTGGGCGCCAGGCGGAGCAGGGGCAGCGCTCAGGTGTGCTCAGCTCTGCCGGCAGAGCCCGTTTGCCTCGCGCAGAGCTCAGCACCCTCGCCAGCCCCCGGAATGCCAGCCCGCTGCGTCACTGCCGGGGCCTGCCCCGCGTGGGCACAGGGCGTTGGACCTGAAAGCGCCCGGCTCCCACCTCTCTGGGGAGCAACCGCAGCAGAGCCGCTGTCTCTGGGGGGCTCAGGCCATGAGGAGGGTGGTGGGACAGAGGAGCGAGGCCTGGCGTGGCCGTTCCTGCTCCTGGGGGTGCCACGCTGTGCCATCCCCCTGTGTCACCCCCCACGGCCTGGGGGGGTCTTGTTGTGGCACTGTTGGGGTCCCCACTTTTGGGCCCTTCAGGACCAGCAGCCCCGGCCATAACACAGCTCCCAGTGGCACCCCACACACCATAACACAGCTCCCACTGGCACCCCACACACCATAACACAACTCCCAGTGGCACCCCACACACCATAACACAACTCCCAGTGGCACCCCACACACCATAACACAGCTCCCACCGGCACCCCATTACACCAAACACAGCTCCCACCAGCACCCCATTACATCAAACACAGCTCCCACTGGGACCCCATTACACCAGACACAGCTCCCACTGGCACCCCATTACACCAAACACAGCTCCCACCACACCCCATTACACCGTGGGGTCTGTCCCCCACAGCCAGAGGCCCCCAGCAGCCCCCTATCACCCTGTGCCTCCAGAGGTACCTGTCCAGCAGGGAAAGAGCCGCAGGAAGGCGTCCAGATCCAGGCAGCTCTCGGAGTAGGGAAGCTCCTTCCCAGCCACAGCCCTCCCGCACACCCAGGGTTTGTCTGTGGCGCTGAGTGTGTGTGGGGAGGGGAAGGGTGGTTGGTTCAGTTCCCAGTAGCTGGGTGAGTCTGGCAAACAGCTCCTGGAGAGGTTCTTGTCGGTGCACATGCACACACACGCTCGGCTTGAACAACAAAGGAGATCAACGGAGCCGGATTCCTCCACCTGCAACACCAGCAGCTCCTGCCAGCGGATGCCCTGACCCCCACAAGGGTGGTCTGGGCACTGCAGACCCAGAGCAAGACCAGGGCAACAGGGACAGACACCGGGCTCTCACCGTCCCCCACCCGTGGGGCCACCAGCAACCTGTTGCTAAGAATCCCAGATTACGCAACTGTAACCCACTTCTGAAGCGATTTTTTTGATTAGTAAGAGTTTTGCAACAGCTCACTGGTATCTCCAGCCTACAGGAACTCGCAGCCACCGCCCTGGCGGTGCCGGGACGGTCGGATGGGACCTTCCCCAAACAGCAGGATGGCAGCAGGGTCCCCACGCAGCGGGACCCTGCCCTGCTGCTGCCTCCAGCTGCACCCCCATGGGACCTGGAACGAGTCCCCAAGGGG